GATGCCATGTTCGTAAGAACACATCGCTGAGTCGGCAAGAAAGACTTTTTTTACGTTGCTCAGAAGCCGCCCTCTCTTGCACGCGCTGGTTCAATGCGCGGAGCGAAGAAAGGTAGCGTGAGAATGGCGGCGGCAGCTGCATCCTTGTTCTATCGTAACCAGCGATGTGCGAGTATTCAGTTGGTAATAGAGCATGGATATAAATACTGATATCGCCGCAGTCTCTCCTCCTTTTAAGCAATACCTATTTTCTCCTTATGATTTGGTCCCTTGGCAGCCCAGAAAACTGGCCATTCATAAGAGAGGAGCGTGTCACGCCATCTGTCACAATTTGCCAAGATGCTTGGACCGGGAAATGGCATAAACTTTCATTGTTAAAAGGTTGCATAATATGATTCTGGATATGTAATCCTAGACTGATGAGTATGTCTTCAGGACGCCATTTTGGCCTAGTGGTATTATATTTCTACAGAACTCTAAGGTAATATAAGCTCCCTTTTTCTCCGACTGTTTATGTACCGGAGCATTTGACTGTGACTGACCAACAGCGGGTACCTTAAGGATTGCCCTTGTGGAATCCAGATTCTGATGAACGTCTGATCTCTTCCAATGAGCGGCTATTTAGCCTGTCTTAATACCCTCGATGTAAGCAAACATGATGCTTTTCGCATCGATCCCAATTCAACACTTGCCGACAGTTGAGGGGATGTGGAGGTGTATAAAAAGGCAGTACCTCAAGTCCGCGACCACGGCATTCTTCTCCTTCTAATAAAGATAAGCAGCGAAAAATAGTCTACCAAGTCCACCCTCTCAGAAGCAATCAAGGTGCACCTTGAAGTTCCATTTCTCCTACCAGACTAACATTGTAAAGAATACAATGCGTGTTGCCAGCATACTCGCTACCATCCTGCTGAGCGCCACCCTAGCCTCCGCCCAGTGCATCACCCGCAGCCCCTGTCCCACGGACAAGTATAGTGACTGCGAGATTGCTTGAACAAAGGTTACCGGGGCGGCCGCTGCCGCCAAAACATTCGCTGTCCAGGGAGCACCAATTTGCGATTGCTACTGAAACGCGAAGCGCAGTGATGAGGTGATTGACGGCAATGAGTCCTTGCGTGAGCTCCTGATTAACATGGGTCGCAATGATGTTTTGAAGAAGGTGGATGCTAGAGAGCCTTTAGATAGGTGTAGCATCTGCTGTGGCCTCCTGAACCTTTTGAAAATTGCTGTATCTGTGCCCCCTACCCATAGGATAGTCCTCCTCTTAGGAAATCAGAGCCTATATTTACTTTCCGTCCTAATTTAGGATTCTTATGCACATCTTCAGTATTATTCTGCACACCGAGTGTCATTCTATTAACCAATGTTAGTCATGAACAGACATCTGCTGTATACTACGGCTCTTGTTCGACGTGCTCATCTGGGGCTATCTAGATGATACAGCAAGTTCCAAAAGGAGACCAATGTGGGAATTAGGATGGACTATGTCCAAGCTGATGGTCACTGCGGCGGTTGCTCAGTTCCAGAGCCTCCAGAAGGTCTGGCATCAGTTGTCAGAGAAAGTTGGATGGGCAAACCCTTGTGCTTGGTGCTAAGAGTAGGCACAATAGGCATTGGACTAGTAACAATCCGCCCTAGAATGGCCCAGACAATATCATTGTTTAAATTTCCTTTGCTCTGATCATGTTGATACGGATGCTTGGAATACTGAAACTCTTCAACAGCGTACGAAGTACCTGAGGTCGTTCATTTTTGCTGGGTCTGATCAGGTTTCAGCGCCACCTGCTGCTATAGAAGGTCCATGTGTTAACATTCAGAGTCCGACGGCATAGCACGAGATGATATCAGTACCAGGTCTGCAGTAATAACGATTGACAAGCAAGGCAAACTATCGCTCAACCTTCGCTGTAACAGATACAGTGATTTCAAAAGGCTCCAATGAGAGAAGCTCGGCGTGCAGCACAGGATACCGATTGTTGTGCCCACAGATTCGATGCGAACAGCCTGAGATATATCTATTGTGGGAAGTAAAGCCAACTCTGCTTTTTCGAGCATCGTGTATGCAAGCCGTTTGTCTCTTTGTGAGGCCCATCCATGCAGAAACCTGAGGAGCCAGAGAGGGGAGTGACGGGGATAGGAGGGAAAACGGTGAAGGATTGCTTACTACGAGACGTCAGAACCTGCTGGTCACCCCGATTGCGCCATGACAATTCTATCACACTTGAGGGATGAATGATCATAGAGTGTCCTGCATCTGAAAAGGCTATGTTGTGCTGTAATATGCGTACATACGAGGAGAAGACGGTCTCAGAAGAAGAAGATTCCAATGGAAGATATGTGAAGGCTGTACGGATTGACCTACCGACTCAAGTACTGTCGAGGCATGATGCAGGGCGTGGAGTGTCTAGCTGGGACCAGGATGCAACAAAACACATGCGCATCCCCAGGCCCCCGACATCCATCTTCTCATCAGCAACGCCCACTTGTTTCCGTACCGATCCTACTCCCTCTATTCATTCGTCTTTCTTTTCACAATGGGAAGTCTACTCAATTTACCCGCGGAAATTCTCCTCTTCATCATCGGATTCTTTGAGTCAGCTGAAGACTGGCCAGTCCTTCTCTCCCTTTGCCTAACCTCCCGCCAGCTGTACGCAGCAACTCAGCCGATACTTTTCAAAACATACCTGAATGGACTTCACTGTCATTGTTGTCACAAGACCAGTGACAGCAGAGATGGTTTGTGTTCTCTACTAGGCTTCACTCAAACTCTTCTTTCTCGACCCGACCTTGGATCGTGCGTTCGTCGGATAATCATAAACACCTCGGCCTGGGAATCCCGGGCGTCTGAAATATGGTCGAAGATTCTCACACCAGAAACCATAGCTCTACTAGCTGATGCGGTTCAAGGTCTTTCCGTGAACAACAAGGCGGTGTTCCTCTCATCTATAGTCAGGGCGAAAGTGTCTCCTTTGATTGTACTACTTTGTACTCACACACCAAATCTTGAACATCTTCATCTGACGCTGGGAGAAGAAGACTGGAAGGACCTGAGATCTCCCTGTATTCCTTCGGTACAAAAGGGCCTGGCTTCCCGCTATCTGTCTAAGTTGAGGAGCCTCCATATTGGAGGAACTTGGGGCCAGATGAATATCATTCAGGCAGACACCTTATCCCTCTTCTTGAGCTCCTCGTGCCTCGAGTATTTTTCCCTTTCCCTCCTTGATGTACAGGGCGCTGGTGACTCAGGCTTCATGCACTCATCGCAGTCCCTCAACATTGCTTCAGTCTCCCTTACTCGGACGTGTTTAGATACGAACCTTCTGACAACTCTCATATACGCATGCAAGGGTCTTAAAACATTGATCTATGAGATTGATTCTGACACTCCAGATCTTGTTGAACCTTCAGACCTCGCTGCCATCCTCAATTCACAAACTGAAACCCTTGAATTTATCATTGTTGATCTTGATCTGTGGGAGTGGGGGCTACACTGGGACGAGTATCCGAAGATTGAGTCCTTCGCCTTGTTCACCAACCTCCAGCACCTAGAGATCGAACAGTGCCTCTTGACCGACAACCCAGAATTACCCGACTCACTGAGGCATCTGGTCATTCGTGCCTGTGAATACCCTGTGGCAAGATTGTTGACAAATTTGGCAAACCGCAGCTTCGACAGCCTAGATTCTCTCGCGTTGGTCGTCTTACAGCCTCAGTCATCACCACCTAATGGAATGTTCGGTCTCTCGGAAAGATTCGACAGTGATGAAGACATACATTTAAATATCCTGTATCGGACCGCATTCAGAAGCGCCTGCAGGCGACTAAGGAAAATAGTTCGCGAGGCATGCTTCGACTTTGATGTACGGTGCGAAGAATGGGTTTTGTTTGAGGAAGGTCTTCTTTGAGCTCCGCGAGACTGGGATCTATGAAGTGATCTTACGGCTGAAACAAACATGAGGACAAATTGTACTTTGCAAAAAGCGCGAAAGCAGCGCAAAGATATTGCGGGTTGTTGATTTTGTGTTTTGCGTGAAAATTGAATGTTGACATTTGATTTGCAAATTGTTTAAGCAGGCTGAACTGGCCTTAGGACGGGAAGGGATCTCATCTTAGTTACAATGGTGCCTCTCTAAAATTATGTAAAAGCGAGTAGAATCTATGAAGGAAATTGATCAAGTCTAACGATTGTCCGCTGTAAACATATATCATGGCGGGTTCCGCGGGGTCCGGCGAACGAATTGCCCGACCCCAAGACTTCCGATATCCAAATGTCCCGCCCGTTGGATGTGTTCCTGAAATCAAAAAATTATCATCAAGTGCCATAACTATTCATGATTCGTCAGCATGGGTCTTTTGATCCCGAACGGTGCGGCCTTAGCTCTAATGCGCGAGTCTCGGAGATTCGAGGCTTGATTCGAACGGAACAGTGGAGACAACGCGTGGCGCGAGTGCTGCGAGTCGGAGACATCATCCACTCTCGTCTTGGCTGCCTTTTTGGTAATCATAACCATCAGCAGTTCCCATTCTTATCCACATCTTTAACCTACTTTCCTCTGTATAAGACAGTCATCTGGTGTGCAATTTGGTGGACCCGAGAAAGCCCTATCAAGCAGTTTGATTTTTCTAGATTCTTCTCAGCCGAGCTGCCCAGAATGGACAACATGGTACAAAATCGGGACTGTCTCTGTCTTGTTCTCCATGATCTAGCCAATAGAGGGCTTGATTGTCTTGCAAAAGGCCCAACTAAGATTCCACTATGCGCCAAGGCATCAATCTGTTGTTGAATCCATAATGATGAAATATACACCTCCGGTATATCGAGGCTTGGCTTCCTCTTCGGTAGGAAGAGGGCAACATGAGTGCTTCTTGCGATTTTCTCGATGACATACGATGAATATAAATGGACGTTTTCCCGTTTTTGAAAGTGGGTTTTCTTCCCGGTCAGAAGCGAAGGTCTCTTTGTAACGACAAGGCTGTTGCGCTCCAAAAGATTGTCCGGCATGCCGGCCCACCTTCCCCAACACCTTGGTGGTACACCGATTGACACCTCACATGAAGTCGGAACTCAAACGGAGGTGGCTTCAAGATCTCATGTTGTTTCATCGCGAGGGGATGAGGATGCCATTGCTGAGATTCATCGCACCCTGACAGGACGGAGTCACCAGGGAGTTGGTCAACATCCCGAGCCCCATTCCTCGTTCGACAGCTTCTTGGAAGCAGAACTTCGAGCTGGAAGGAGAAAGCCAAGTCTTGGTGTCTGCTTCCAGTCAATCACAACATGGGGAGCTGGTGAAGCTCACACGACTGTGAAGACACTAGGAACAGCTCTGTGGCGTACACTAACACTACAAGATATCTATGAATGGACAATACAGCCCCTGTTTTCGCCTAGAAAGCCACAAGATGGACGCCTCCTTATTCGAGATTTCTCTGGCGTGGCTCGGACCGGAGAAATCATGCTGTAAGCATTTATACCCTGTGTTGCTCGCATATGTCTTTTTGAAAGGATAGCCTAATTCCCCTTAGAGTTTTAGGCAGACCGGGAGCCGGGTGTTCAACGTTCCTTCGAACAGTTGCTGGCTACCATTCTTCTTTCTTAGGGGTGACCGGGCATATCGATTACTCAGGCCTTACTTTGGAGCATGTGACGAAGTACTACCGCGGCGAGGTGATCTATGTGCCAGAGGACGATGCGCATTTTCCCACTCTCAACGTTCAGCAAACACTGGAATTCGCTCTTCAGAGTAAGACGCCCAAAAGGTATCGAGAGCGAATCCCACGATATCTCGAGATCTACGGCAGGGTTTTTGGTATGTCCCATACCATGAAGACCCTCGTGGGGAACGAGTATATTCGTGGTGTGTCTGGAGGAGAACGAAAACGACTCTCTATAATTGAATCGCTTGCAACCGATTCCTCAGTCGTGTGCTGGGATAATTCTACTAGAGGCCTAGATGCCTCGTCGGCGTTGGACTACGTCCGCAGTCTTCGGATTATGACTGACACATGCGGAAAGGCGACCCTACTGACCTTGTACCAAGCGTCTGACGCCATTTTTGATTTGGTTGATAAGGTTCTGCTCATTGACGAAGGGCGAATGCTCTACCAGGGTCCAGCGTATGAAGCGAAAGGCTACTTTGAGAATCTGGGCTACCAATGTGCGGAAATGCAAACTGTATCCGATTTTCTGACCAGCATTACAATCCCTGAGCGACGGAGGTTCCGGCCTGGTTGGGAAAACCGCGCCCCAAAGGGAGCGATTGAACTAGAGGATGCGTTTCGAAAAAGTGCGGCTTTCCATCGAATACTGGAAGACATTCGGAACTATGAGGAAAAGCAGGCTGGCGTTCAAGGATTGAGAACATCGCAGTCGGATTGCGATCGTGGGAGCCTGAAGGAATTCAAGAGCACGATACAAACCGAAAAGTCTCGTTTTGTCTCCCCCAAATCTCCGTATACCATCTCCCTGTTTCGACAAGTGGTTCTGTGTGGCAAGCGGCAGATGTGGCAGGTGAAAGGCCATATTTCGCCATTATTGATCAAGCTCATTTCATGTGTGATTTATGGTCTGCTGATTGGCTCAATGTTCTATGAGCTACCAGAGAACACCGATGGCATGTACTCGCGTGGAGGAGTGATATTCTACTCCTCTATTTTGCTTGCTTGGCTTCAAATGTCCGAGCTAGAAGAAGCAATGCAAGGCCGGGATATACTCAGTCGCCAAAAGAAGTTTGCCTTCGTACGACCAAGCGCCGTATGCCTGGCTAGGGTTCTTGCGGACCTTGTCCTGGTCTTCGTTCTCGTGCTCTTGTTTCTGATTGTTGTCTACTTCCTGGCTGGGTTGAAAGCAAGTGTATGTGTTCCATGCAGACTCCTTGTTGCACAATCCACTAAGATCTGAATCTCTAGGCGGGATCCTTTTGGATTGATTTCCTCTTGATTTACCTGTGCACAATCTGTCTGACTGCCCAGTTCCGGCTATTTGCTGCTGCATCATCGAACTTCGAAGTCGCATTGCGCTACAGCGGGGTTTCTGTACTGTTTTGCATCGTCTTTGGCGGCTATGTGCTCTCTGTGGACAAGATGATGAATAACGTTCCTTGGGTAGGGTGGATAGCGGTAAGCACCATCCGGAATAACCTTTCAAGGCGATAACAAAGGTCTAATGAAAACTAGTACACTACGCCGGCGCTATATACATACGAAGCAATGATGGCGGCAGAGTTTCATAACACCAAATTCTCATGTGCGCCTGGCGCAGTTGTACCTTCAGGGTACACCTACAATAATGTTGCTTATCAAACTTGTGGTATTTCTGGTAGTCAGCCAGGGACAACAACGGTTGATGGCGATCATTATTTGGCCGTGCATTACGGTTTTTATTACCGGAATGTGTGGCGCAACTTTGGGATACTATGCCTTTTTACGCTTGTTTACATTGCCGCTACATGCTGGCTGAGTGAAGCTCTTGACTGGGAGCCAGGCAGTACCGGGCCAATCCAATACCGAAAGCGCGCCAAAAGCAGCCAGCGCAATTTCAAGAGTAACCAGGACGAAGAGAACGGTCCTGTACAGGCTCTTGGAAGTGCCCCGCCCCCAACCCAACCTTCTTGCCAACAACCAGTTCAAACTGTCAAAGGTACTTCTTCAACTTTTACGTGGAAGAACCTTGAACTCGAAGTCCAATGTGGGAAAGAGACTAGGAAGCTGTTGGATGACGTGAATGGCTACTGCAGACCCGGGACGCTGACAGCTCTTGTAGGAGCCTCTGGGGCGGGTAAATCAACTTGTGAGATGCCACGAACCTCCTTTCCCACTCATGTTTACCGAATTGCTGACACTATTGCAGTATTGACTGTTCTCACGCAAAGACAAGCATCAGGGATATTGTCTGGAACCATGAGCGTGGATGGACGTCCCGTTGACGAATCTTTCAAACGCAATATCGGATATTGCCCGCAGATGGATGTTCATGACGAGACTAGCACTATTCGAGAAGCTCTTGAGTTTTCCGCACTGCTTCGTCAGCCTGTATGTGTCCGGAAACAAGATAAGCTCTCTTACGTGGACACCGTCTTGCATACCCTTGAACTGGTTGACTTCCAGAACGCCATCATCGGATCTTTGGATATCGAGAAGAAAAGGCGGGTCACTATCGGAGTGGAGCTCTGTGCGAAACCTGAGCTGCTGCTCTTCTTAGATGAACCCACCAGTGGCCTGGGAAGTCAAGGCGCATCGAGCATTGTGTCTCTTCTGCGGCGCCTGGCCGACCAAGGATTAGCCATCCTTTGCACCATCCATCAAGCAAACCAAGAGCAATTCGAACAAGTAAGCCTCAAGAAGCCATGCCGCTTGTGATGATCGGTGGGTTGCTGACTTCAATAGTTTGACAGAGTCCTGGCCCTCAGCCCGGGCGGACGAACTTACTATTTCGGTGAAATCGGAAGATCTGGATGTTGCATTTTTGATTATTTCACGAAGTACGGCGACCAGCCCAAGAAAATCACCAACGCAGCAGACTACTTGATTGAAGTCGTTGTCGGGGGCATGAGGGATACCGGCCACAAGGTGGACTGGGCAGACATATGGGATGGATCCGCTGAGGCTGACGCCCTCAAAAAGGAGATCTCCAACATCCACAGGGCGAGGTCGCAAAATACTGAATCATGTGACAGCACGAAGCAGACTCATTCTATGCCGCCCCTGTATTGTCAGATCAGCCTTTTGACGCAGCGCACGCTTCGGCAGTACTGGCGGAGCCCTGAATACCCCTATTCGCGGCTTTACGCATCGTTCTTCCATGCTTTGATTAACGGATTGACATATTTGCAAATCGGAAACAGTTCTACAGACCTGCAATCGAAAGCATTCTCCTGTTTTCTGGTTCTGATGCTGGTGCCGGAGTTCATCAATGCAATTTCGATGCGATTCATTTTGAACCGTGATATCTGGAAGACCAGGGAGGGACCCAGTGGAGTGTATTCCTGGGTTGCATTTTGCACCGCACAGATAATCTCGGAAATACCGTACGCGATAATCAGCGGAGTGGTATTCTACGTGTTGTATTACTTCCTTGTCGGTCTTCCTCTGGGGTTCGCAGCTGCTTATACGTTCTTGATGTTCTTCCTCTTTTTCCTTTTCGCTACGTCCTGGGGTCAATGGATCGCTGCTTTAAGGTGAGTGTCTCGGATCAGTCTACCGTCTGGAAGCGGAGACAAAAGAGGTACGGGCCGTCTGACAAGTATCTAGCGCGGATTCAATGGTGGCTGCTACCCTTATGCCATTTTTCATCATCATGTGCGAGCTGTTCAACGGTATCTTGCAGCCACACAAGAACATGCCTGTGTTCTGGAAGTACACGATGTACTATGTCACGCCGTTCACTTACTGGATAGGTGGTGTATTGACGTCTGTTCTACGTGGTATGCCCGTTGTCTGCAGTCAAGATGAGTTGGTTGTTTTCGAGAGCCCGCCCAACACGACGTGCGGAGAGTATGCGATGCCCTGGCTGTCCAGTACGGGCAGCGGTTATCTCTCAAATCCTGATGGTCGTGGCCACTGCGGATACTGCAAGTATAGTCGAGGTGATGATGTGAGTCTTATTTGGTTGGGAATGTAACGAAAGGTTGCTAACTCCACCAGTATCTCTCGGAGATTGGTCTAGACGAGTCCAAAATCTGGCCTTATTTTGGTATATTTACGGCATTTGTCATCTCAAATTACCTCATGGTCTACGTACTGGTCTATGTTCGCTCAGTTATGAAGCCCTTGTGGCGCTGACAGCGGAGGGGATCCAATGTCTCTTGTCAATAGGATTCTTTCTGACTGACACGTTCCTGCGAGGGCACTTGCCAGAATGGACATCTTTTCTGGCTTTGTCATTCGGATATAGCATTGTATAGCCAAACACAGTGCCCTGAAATTGATACTGTATTCACTTGCACTGCCTGTTCATAGGATGAGGAGTAAAGCCCAGCTGGAGACCTGTAACTGGATCGTTTGTATAATCTATTAAATAAGGTTGACGGCCAAAGAAGGAGCAATCCCACACTCAGGACAAAAAATGTCATCCTAATTCATAACTGCTATGCAATTCTGCAAGTATCCATTCAGAGCCGATAGTGCTGCCCCTGAAATTCCGAACGCGGACTTTATTACTGTAATCGGCATGTCCGAAGGCAATGCCGACTGCCGGAAATACTGGATTCAGTAACGCCGAGACACAGCGTCAGTAATCCCCGATTTTCCTTCGCAGTCAGCAATTACAGGCAACAACCACAGGACAGTTCAAAACCTGGTCAAACTGAGTCATCTTTACGGGTACAGAGTCGATCAGATAAGCTCTCGGTGGGTCTAATCTCCATGATTGTTGGACCATTACCAGTTATTCTCACATCGGCGACCGTTGAATGGCCCTGAGCTGAGCAGCGCCGTGAAAACCACGCCTGCGTGGTCATAAGCCATTGAAGTCCTGATTATCTGGCCATTCAAAGATGGACGACGACCAGGAGTCGTCACCTCATATGGAGCACTCAAGGTCATCGCCCAAATCCGCAGCACGTCGGCGCAGACCACCGCTGTCATGTACCGTGTGTAGACGGCGAAAGCTCAAATGTGATCGAGCATTGCCATGCAGCCAGTGCATCAAGTCCAAGACTCCAGATCAGTGCATCTATGTAGGACCTCAGGCTGGCTCGCTATCAAGCGTCCGACGCGCTGAAAATCGAGACACAACTGTCAATGACCGTGCTCGGGCGTCCACAGATCGCGGCAGTCCTGTTTATAGCGGTGTCTATGTTTTCGATTCCAAACACCAACCTTTTCCGACGAGGGTTACAAAGCCTAAAAGTCGCTCTGATGAGATGCAGGAGCTGCGTAACCGAGTCCTGACATTAGAAAATGCACTGGCAAAGGCCAGCTCGATTCAAACTCCAGAGACCCTGGGGACCGTACCCTCGATCGTCTCAGAATTGGGACACCGTACAACGGGAGACGAACGCTACCTCAGCGAAGACATCCGGTCTCTCCCATGGGCGTCCTTTCGGGGGAAAAAGTCTAATACTAGGTACTGTGGTCGCTCGCACTCTGTCTTGGCCCTTTCATTCGTAAGTTGCTAGCATCCTGTCGGTTGGTGTATTCCTCCAGGCTAAGTTCTTGTAGTTCCGGGATGTGGGTGATTTCTTGAGGCAGCGCAAATCCAAACATAAGAAAGATTCCGAGTTTGGATCATTGAAACAATTTCAGAAAGAAATGTGGCTCAAGCAAAGACAAGAACAGCAGCAACGTGTGCGTCAGGAGCAGGTTTCTTCTTTCGTGGACCTGCTTCCTCCTCGCCGAGTTGCTGACGAGCTAGTCCAGTTGTACTTGTCCAATTTTGAAACCACATATCGCATCCTCCATATACCAACCTTTCTCAAGCAGTACGAAGACTACTGGATTGCACCGCAGAATCCCGACATGGTTTTCTTGGCGAAGCTTTTGCTTCTAATGGCCGCTAGCAGTTGTTTTTACGGCCCAACAACAAAGATCAACGGCAAAGATTCACTGGCGAGTACTGCAATACATTGGACTGAAGCTGTTCAGACATGGAGCGCAACGTCATTTGCGACTCGAAACACCAACTTTGATATGTTGCAAATCCATTGTCTGTTGTTGATTGCGCGCCAAGCGATCGCTTTTGATGGGGATACCATTTGGATATCATCTGGCTCATTGATACGATTAGCCATGTCCATGGGCTTGCATCGGAACCCGTTGCGCTTTCAGAAGCTGTCTAGATTCTGGGCAGAAATGCGCCGCCGTTTGTGGGCTACCATACTGGAGTTAGACCTACAATCATCGATGGATGGAGGGATGCCGCCAACGATTGACCTGGAGGAGTACGACTGCGATCCACCGTCCAACTATGATGACGCAGATCTGATCGAAAGTATGACAGAAGATCCCCCGCCCAAAGATCCCGACATCCTCACTCGGAGCAGCTTTCAGGTTCTACTTTCGCGTTCATTGCCCGTGCGAGTACACATAGCAAAGCTCGTGAATCGCCTGAGATTCACAATCTCCTATGACGAGGCTCTGCGCTTGAGCGAGGAACTCATGCAGTCTCTGAATGATGCTTTGGAACTGTTCCCGAGCGACGGATATCCGTCGCATATACCCGGCGTTGAGAATCCCGCATTCACGAAGTCGTATTTCATTTTCCTAATACGGAGGCATTTGCTAGCCCTCCATCGCCCTTTTTGCCTCAGTATCATGCGAACTCCTAAATTCTCCTATTCACGAAAGATTTGCCTCGACTCGGCTCTGGATATGCTCTCCTTGCTGGAGGCCCCTCTTGACGTTGCCGAAGCACGGCCTCATCCTCATCTTGGACATTTGACCGGCGGAATGTTCCGTGAAGAGCTATTCCATGCGTCGATAATGGTGTGCGTGGAGCTAGTTCTGCAGGCTGACGAGTATTCGCGGTCAAAGTCCATGCTCTCAGGCCAAGGCAGCGTCTTAAGTTCTCTCAACGACATGGCGGAATCCCAGCAAGCGGTCATGGTACGTGCAGTTGAAAACACCCTCAGTGTCTTCGGCAGTCGCATTGCACCAGGTGGAAGGGGTTGTAAGCCATACCTCTTCCTAAGTCTCACACTTGCATCTGTCAAGGCGCGCTTGAAAGGGGAGGATCCCTTCATGACTATGGATCAAGCTGGTACAAACGCCATCAGAGACTGCCATTTACTGATGAGCGGGGTGCCTTGGGCCGACGTACGCAAGCAAGATGAAAACAGCACAAAGGAAGTGAGTGATTGCAGTTTCGCAACACAGCGGCTATTCACTGATACACAACTAGGCTAGTATTCCAACGCCCGGGCCCACTGCGGGTACGCCGCTAGATCTGCCCTTTGATTCTATTTCTTTCGTCCCTAGCTCCATAGAGGAGATTTCGGTAAGTCTCTGTGGCAGATGATTGTAACGACCTAGAGGCTGACAAACTAGCCGTTGGACTTTGGAACCTTTTTCGACATGGCCGACTATGGAGCTTCGGAAATTTGGAATAACGATTTCTTCTCAGGGCTTTAAGAATAGCGTGCATAAGAGCGTGCATGAGGAAAGGCGTTCTTGAAATAAGGAGTTAGCTTGCGATCTTCGACTGGCAAATCTCCAACTAGCTTAATGCACAAAGACCTCTTGGTTAGGTCCCATGATAAATGGAACAGAGCCTTCTTCGCCTCTGATAGCGATCAGTCATCCCGGCAAGGGAAGCCATACGTGCGCCGATACCGAGTATAAAAGTTGGGCAATCATAGGCTCCAGCAGCATTTTACACCATCGAGTTCTCCATATATTGCATTCAACATAGTCATTGCCTAACCAGGGCCCTCGGGCTATGTTGTAAATTCATCACAAAAAACTTTCTTCATTGATGAAATGTCGTGCATACCAGAGTTGAATAATTTCCCAGCAGAAAGGCGTTTGGTGTCTGATCTTTGACCATGCTATCGCAGTCGGCGCGGTTCCAGCAGCTATTGACAGAAAAATCATGATTCAAGAGATGATATAATCATCACCGTACAATGCTTGTTTTATGCACATGTGCACCTTCATTGGTGGAACTTCTTTGCTGATCCCTGTACCCCAACGGAGGAAATATCGCGCAAAACACGAGCGCTCGATGCTTGAAGAAATTAGCTTGTGCTTGAGTGAGTGTCCCCCAAATCTCCCCGCTTAATGTGGAGAAGCATCAAAAGACTTCGCTCTGGCGGTCGCAATGGACGGATTCTATAGGCGGATAAACTCTCTTCTTCCGTCTAACAGGCAGTCCCTCTAGCTCAAAATCCGGGGAAAGCCAAGCACTGGGGAAGATTGGCAGAAGGCCTGAGCGCTGGCAACTTGGTAGAAGTCATATCTATAAGAGGGACAGCATGAGCAGGTCGGAGTGCGAGTGCCAGCTCAATTGGCTGTCTCTAGTTGTACGCATCTTGTAGCGAGACACCGAGCTCGCCATGAAGTTTCTCGCTCTTGCAGCTCTCTTCGCGAGCACAGTCAGCTCAATTGCAGTTGATGGCCTCATCCCTGGAGCAAGAGTCATCCCTGCTAACGACGTGGTAGCCCTGAAGAAGGTTGGGGCTCACCATCAAAAGCACCCCCACCGTCGCACAGTGATCATCCGTCCGTCTTTCAATGATGAGGATGATGTCTCTGCCGACTTCTTATGGGGAATCAAGTGGGCCAACCGCGGGGGAAGGCTGTTGCTGCAGAAGGGGAAGAAGTATGTCATCGGCAAGAAGCTCGATTTGACCTTCTTGAAGGATATCGAGGTTCAATTGGATGGAGAACTAAAGGTACTTTGGCCCAAGATCCCGGACCCAGTCCTAGCTGGTGTTAATACTATGGAAAGTTCACCAATGACGTGCCCTACTGGCAAGCAAACAATTTCTATTATGACTTCCAGAAGTCCATCAGCTTCTGGCGCTGGGGTGGTGAGGACATCAAGATCTTTGGTTCCGGTGTCCTGAACGGCAACGGACAGCGCTGGTACAACGAGTTTGCTGGACAGGAGATCCTGGTAAGTATTTCTGGAAGATTGTCAATGCCTCTCACAGAGTTGTACTGACGAGTCTAGGATCCCAACAACAAGTACTATCGGCCCATCCTCTTCGTGACCGAGAACGCCACCCGAGTCTCGGTCGAAGGCATTACGCAGCTCAACTCTCCTTGCTGGACCAACTTCTTCGTCCGCACCAAAGACATCTCGTTCAACAATGTTTTCATCCATGCCTACTCGACTAATGCGTCGGTAGGTTTCCATTCACTTGTGGAAGCAGAGGATAAACTAACGGTGGTCAATAGGCGCTCCCCAAGAACACAGATGGCTTCGACACGCTCAACGTCGATGGATTGACTGTCACCAACACTCGGGTCGACATCGGTGACGATTGCCTCTCACCGAAGCCCAACACTACCAATGTTTTTGTGCAGAATCTCTGGTGTAATGGCACACATGGAACGTCGATGGGGAGTATCGGCCAGTACCCCGGAGTCCTGGATATCATAGAGAACGTTTGGATAGAGAACGTAACCCTGCTAAACGGTGAGGTAAGCAATGTCCCTCCCCCACCTGTCCCCATTCTCGATGTCCACATCTAATTCTATCAGAACGGTGCTCGTCTCAAGGCATGGGCTGGTCCCAATGTTGGCTATGGCCGCATCAACAACGTCACTTATAAGAACATCCACGTCGAGAACACCGACAATCCTATTGTCCTGGATCAGTGCTACTTCAACATAAACGCTACGCAGTGTGCTGCCTACCCTTCACGCGTGAACTTCACAAACATTGTCTTTGAGAACATCTATGGAACCTCGTCTGGAAAACACGGCAAGGTCGTGGCTGACCTGACCTGCTCGCCTAATGCCGTGTGTTCTGGGATCCGTCTTAAGAACATCCACCTCACCAGTCCTGCGGGCAGCCCTCCAGTCATTGTTTGTGATGGAATTCAAGGGGATATTGGAGTTGAATGCCAGTCGTCAACTAATTTGACGACTAAGCGCTCGATTGGTTTGGCCAGAAACTTGAAATACAAGGCATGAGTGCTTGCAACGTAAATAGTGAATAGAAAGACTTGACTCAAGTTATCTCCTTGACTCTTAGCGAGGCTGTGATGAGTAGTGCATCTAATGATTCCGTATGCCATTGTGGAATGGTTCATAACTGGATTGATACTCCAGTACTTTGCAGCAGTAGGAGGCTGTTTCCGTAGAGCGACGTATGCTCAAATTGACAAAGTAGAGAAGGTCAGGATGTCTGCGAGCGGAGACCATGTCTATCGAACCATATTTTGTCACCTCGGAACTGGGCTCCAACTCCAGCATAACCATTTTCACTTGTGCCTTATGATCAATACGTCTCTGAAAAAGAAGTATTCTGCTTGAGTAACCAGAAAATAAATCGTGTGAAGAAGAGTGTGACAATCTCAATTTCAACTTGAGGTGCATGTTTATGATGGAGGCGGAATTCATACATTAATACAATATTGAACAAGTATACACCCAATCAAAATGTGTATGCCAGAGATACTCAACAATTCCCAAGCACAAGCGATCTACAAAACAATAATCTTATTGATGTATGGATCGTCGAATCAGAGTGCAGTCAATTTTGCATCTCAGTGTGCGTGAGTACCTTGAGCCCATCCCAGGTACCTTGGGAGTTCACGGGTGAAATAGACTCTTGTATACATTCAACCACGCGACCAGTAATAGCTCTTTGATTAATGATAAAGGATTATTTGAGCCCACCAAAGACGAACCTTGGGGGTTAATTGCAAGCATATCGCTTGCTCATGATATAAAATGTGGCCTTCCCACAATGCTGTGTGCGTCGTCAAATTGTATCCCAGAATCCGGTTCAAGGGGCACCGTTGACTTCCAACAAGATGGTCATTAACTCAGGAACTGATTCTCTCTCGTATCCCGCTCCTGCTCAGCCGGGAGCTGAGGAGAAGCCGACGAGGCAGATCCCGGTGACGCTCCTTTCAGGATTCCTGGTAAGTATCTCCCGCAAGATTGCAATGGCGTCTAGCTAAGAGAGAGCAGGGTAGTGGCAAAACAACACTCCTCGAGCATATCCTTCAATCTCCAGACCATGGACTGCGTATTGCGGTTGTGGTCAATGATATGAGCAAGTATGGGTGCCTCGCTATTAGTATCGGGAAACATTGATGCTTACTAGCAACACAGGCTGAACATTGATGCTGCTTTGATCACTCATCACCGGGTGTCCCAGACAAAGGAAAAGCTCATCCAGCTCCAAAATGGATGTATCTGCTGCACACTGCGTGGGGACCTGCTCTCAGAGCTTGCTCATCTCGCGCGCCAAAAGGAAGTGCAGTACGTTGTCATTGAGAGCACGGGAATTAGTGAGCCGATGCAAGTAGCGGAAACGTTCACGGCCGAGTTCAGCAGTGCAATGCTGCAGGCGGATCAGGAGATGATGGTGGATGAGGACAGCCGCAAGGTCCTGACAGAGATGTAAGCCCAGCCACTTTTTCAATTCTTGTCCTTCCGGTTTTCGGATCTGACAGCAACAGTGTCAATCTAGGAGGCCTTCACACGCTGGCGAGACTCGACACCACGGTGACTGTTGTCGATGCATTCAATCTTCTTTCCAACTTTGACACCGCCGAGTTCTTGTCAGATCGATATGGATCCAAGGAGATTATCCCAGAGGATGAGCGTACCATCTCCGACCTCATGGTGGACCAGATTGAGTTCGCAGATGTCCTCATCGTCAACAAGATCGAGACTGTGGACGAGAATACCCGAGCAAGGATCAGAAGATTGTTAAAGACACTCAACCCCGACGCCAAAGTTTTGGAAACGAGCTACTCTCGTGTCGATGTGAAAGAGATCCTGGACACGGGAAGGTTCGATTTCATCAAGGCTGCTTCGGGGGCCGGTTGGTTGCGCAGCCTGCATGAAATGACAGTCCAGAATACTGGAAATGGGCAGAGAATGGCTCCGAAGCCGGAGACCTTGGAGTTTGTCTTCCCTGCCCTCCATCCAACGTCAGAGAAGGTACACTGACTTGAACAGATATGGGATCAGCAACTTTGTGTATACCGCTCGTCGTCCCTTCCATCCTCGTCGACTCTTCACCCTTCTTCATGATAAGTTTATCCTGCTGCAAAACAACGAAGCCGAGGAAGGTGACGAGGAAGAAGATGAGAAAGAAGATGCAGACGAAGAAGAAGAAGACGACAATATGGAAGTAGACGAAGACGAAGACGAAAACGACGAAGACGAAAACGACGACGACGATGATGACGAAAGTATCTCCGACTTTGACCAGCCAGATCCGTCCGAGATCCTGAAGAACAAGCGCAACCATCCCGCGTTCAGCTCCGTTTTGCGCTCCAAAGGTTTTTTCTGGCTGGCTACACGGCCCTTCCAGTTCGGAGAATGGAGCCAAGCGGGTGGCATGCTGACGATTGGATGCGGCGGCCCATGGTTCGCAGAAGTGCCAGACGAGGCGTGGCCTGAGGATCCAGACGTCCGGATATCCATTCAGAATGATTTTCAAGGGCTATGGGGAGACCGAAGACAAGAAATTGTATTCATTGGTGAGGGAATCCACACTGAATTGATAACAAAGTTGCTGGATGAGTGTCTCGTAGATGACGATGACATGAGCCGGTGGGCAAGGATCATGAACAACAAGAGACTGTCTTACCGGCAAAAAGAGGAGAAGCTGGGAAAGCTGTGGGAAGATGGCTGGGAGGCATGGCCTGAGTTTGGCATTGTGGATGAAGACGAGGAGGACAACAAGGAGGGAGGGAAGAAGAAGCACAAACACCACACCAGCGAGTATCTGGGACATGCCCACTCCCACTCCCACAAATAACCGCAGTAACTAGATGACTTGTCATTATAAACAACACTAGGCAAAAATGTCATCAATTCATATCACATTATTAGTCGAAAAGCTTAAGAATCACCATTCATCCACCCGGCTCATTTTCAAATGCATTCCCTCCACTGGCTTGGTCGTCACAGCGCCAGCAATATGAATCTCCTGCTTAGGATCCTGCATTTCAAACCTGAACCGCCCAACAACACCAGCGACCGCACAGCGCAATTCGGCTCGAGCAAAATCTTTTCCGATACAGGACCGCTGGCCATGCAAGAAAGTGATTTGCGCATAGTTTGTCGACGCACCACCATTGTGGTTGACGACCTTCTGGCCGTTCTTGTCGGGATCGATCCAGCGCTCTGGCAAGAACTCCTCCCCATTGTCGCCCCAGAATTCAGGACTGCGGTTGATGGCGTACGGACAGATGAGGATGCGAGTGCCTTTGGGGACATGCTTGCCTGCTATGGTGGTATCGCGGACGGCTTCGCGAATCGTGATGGGTACGGTGGGATATAGACGCAGGACTTCCTGGCAGACACCGTTGAGGAGAGGCATGGATTCGAGATCGCTCCAGGTGATAGGATGGTTGCCAGACGGGATATGTTCACGAATCTCCGTGCGCAAACGCTCTTGAACATCGGGATGGAGGGTGAGAAGGTAGCAGGCCCAGGTGAGTGCGCTGGCAGTCGTCTCATGCTGTTCACATTAGCTGAATGATTTTAAAGTAGGTTTAGGAAGGAGACAGAACATACACCAGCCGCCAGAAAGGTCAGCATCTGATCCACCAATTCGTCGTCCGTAAAATCCCCACCCACCATCATGGTTCCCAGGATGTCTGCCTCCAGCTCCTTGGCGGTCATATTGCTGGAAACAATTGTCTTCCTCTTCTCACGAACAATGTCCTTACATAGATCACGCAGGAAACCGGTCTCGGTGTCAATCACCTTGTTCAGGCGCCAGGGTAGTCGTCGTGCAAACCATTGCGGAAGAATAAAGTTGATGGCGAGGAAGGCCATCTTCTCCTTGGTTGGTTCCAGAATAGCAAGAAAGCTATCAGCAACTTTGTTTTCTGGGTTATGCAGAGAGCGAAAGTCTCGACCCATGGCCGCCGGACCGATGATATCGAGAGTGAGACGGCTGGGTAGCTTTAGCGAATATAAGAGAAGCAAGGTGGAAACAATGAGCTTACCTCGCCCACACGCTCATCTCGACCTTACCCACACCGTCCTCCGGACTTGTTCCTTCCATTGGATTCTGCCGGATCTCCTTCTCCAGTTCATCAAGAAAGAGGCCAGTCTTCTCCCACATCAAGGAGTACAGTGAGCGAATGTTCTTGATGTTGAAGGCAGGAGTCAAGGCCTTGCGCTGCTTCTTATGCGCGGCGCCCTCAGACAAGATCAAGCCGAAGCCAATGATCCGAGCGAGGAACTCGCGCGCGCGCCATGGTTTCTCGAAGTCGTAAGTGTTGGTGCTCATGATATCCAAAAGAGCCTGGTGATTGGTAGGCAAGAGGTGGCTGCGGTTGAACACATCTCGGAAATGAATCAGGCCTTCGTTGGGGATTGTTTTCATCCATTGCAGCGGAAGACGGCCACGCGGGTTATCAAAGATGATTTTACCATTTACAAAGGTGCCCTACTCGATGTTATTGGAGATTGCGACACACAGGGTCTTGAGCATACCTTGACGGTTGGCAGATGACGATTTGCCGTGATGAAGAAAGGATATATAACGAAATCCCAGAATATTTTCAGGGCTAAATTGACACCTACCGCCCCAAGGCAGACTGAATGGAAAGAATGCTCGTTCAAGACGGAGCGCTGCAAAAAATACCCCTCAGCCAGGGAGACAGAGGCAATAGCGAGCAAGGTGTCGGCCATGTTGCCAGCACTCTTGGGGAATAATCACTGGAAGAAGAGAATGGTCGAAGTCAAGAAGAGCACGAGCAAACAAACTACCTACGGTAAGAACTGAAAATTGGCTAATTTGGGACCGGCTTTGGAGAGATCTTCCTCCATCGTCTGCTTTTACTGCATCAGTAATTTTATATGCAAGCGATCGGGCAAGTTAAACTAGCATTAACATGACCCCACGGGGATCGGCAGAGTCGAAGCGGCTATGCGGCCTCGGCTTGGGCGTTCATATGACGTTTGGATACATTTTGCATGAGACGATACATTTGAACAGACAAGAATATATCTGCCTGTAGCTTGACGGTCAGTCAATCCATGTTAGAGGGGATCAAAAGCCAGACGTTGAGGATCAGAAGATCATCTTCGCACCCATGTGAATCCCAACATTTCACAACAGGCCCCTATTTCTGAGATCGGATAGCTTTGCGGGGTTGTTTAGTTTATTGATAGGCTAGAGTGGGCGCATATTCATGGGTCAAGCTACAGAACCCCACGTTAGCCCGGATATTTAGCGAACTAGAATATTAGTACTAGATTGCTCCAGTGATCCACAACGGTGTACGCAGAGCATCGCAACTATTTCCTAATCCGGACAAGCAGAAGAATGTTGAATCATCGGCATCACAATGCCCTCCCTTATGTTCTCTAGAGGATGTCTCCAGGGGCATTATCTTGTAGATAACCTCGTGGAACAATTGATCTGCATCAACCTACGCATGTGCCTCGGTACTATGCAGGAACAACTTGTATATGATCTTGACATGATCCTTAAAGATGCGCATACATATAGCATAGGCCATCCATTCTAATTTCTATCATTCTTATTTGTCTTGAATAGCTTCAAACTACAACATGTCGTTAGAAACCGCTCTCAACATCGCGCGGCAATACGCCCAGTCGAGCCTCGCACAGCTACCTGAGCCCGCGCAGAATGCCCTCCTGAATCCTCTCGTCCAAAAGGCGCTTACAGCTGCGCTGGTCTACGGTGCTCTGCGGCAGACTAACCGCCTGTTGTCGCAATGGTCGATGAACAACTGGCAGAGCGCGCATCCATGGCAGGGCGATCGCGAGCTCGTTCTGGTTTCCGGAGGGTGCAGCGGCATCGGCAAGCAGATCATGGAGGATCTGGCCAGTAAAGGGACCCGGGTGGTCATTTTGGATATCAATGAGCCCAACTTCCAGCTACGTAAGAAACTATCAGTCCCCTCAGCATGCGCCATAGACTAACGAAGCAAAGCCCGCAATGTACACTTCTTCAAGGCCGACATCACCAACTCCGAGAGCATCAGAGCCGTAGCTGAGCAGATTCGCCAGAAACTAGGCGACCCCACTGTGCTGGTCAACAACGCAGGCGTGGGCCACGACGGCACCATTCTCGAGGAGCCCGAGGCCAAGATCCGGCAGACTTTCGAGGTCAACACCATCTCGCATTTTCTGATGGTGCGAGAGTTTTTGCCTAGCATGATCCGCCAGAACCACGGCCATGTCATCACAATTGCCAGTATGGCCAGCTTTGTTGCATTGGGGGAGATGGTGGATTACTGCTGCTCCAAGGCCAGTGCGCTGGCCTTCCACGAGGGACTGACGCAAGAGTTGCGGTACTGGTATCAGGCAAAGAAAGTTCGCACCAGGTATGAGGCTACATCCGATTTGACAGGCTTTGGGACTGACCAAATGAAGTGTTATTCACCCACTTTGGGTTCGTACTCCTATGATTCAACAGTTGACCGACGCGGGAAACCAATTCAAGCAGCCCGTGATGACACCCCAGGTGGTATCGGATGCAGTGGTCAAGCAGATCCTCACGCAGAGCAGCGGGCAAGTGATTCTCCCGACTTCTCATTCCGCTGCCAGTATGGTGCGAGCATTTCCTCAGTGGTTCCAGGAGAGCGTACGCGGGATTGCCTCGGGCTCATTGAGGAGACTTCGAGAGTGCCAAGCTGCTCAGAAGTTGTAATTATATGGTATATAGACAGTCTATCTACCCTGCGAATGTTGAAATGTCGTATATGACCATGTTAGTGGATAATGATGTATACAAATCCATATGATCCGAGTTCTGTAAGAGTTCACATATTCAGTGATGCAGACCGAGAATGATTTAAGATAGCAATGTACAAAGAGATTCATAAATAGACATATAACATATCCAGCTCGACCTATACATCAGAACAAGCGTTTCGACAACCACTCCTTGACCCTCTTCCCCTGCTCCGTCTCCGTCGTATCCCCCAATTCCAGATTATAGATGGGAGCAACATGACCCTCGCGATGTCCAACAAACAGTTCCGACGATGCGAAGCCAGCCTGTCCTGTCAGCAAGCCACTCACTCCGCAAGATTCAAGCATGTACATACCTTGAACTTCTCCGCAAAATCCTGTATAATCGGCAACAGAATCTCATTCCCCCCGGCGCAAATCAACACACTCTCCACCAGAAACGTAGAATACCAGTCAGACTCCGCTTTCGACAAATCCGTATAGACGTCTCTAGTCGCCGCACCCAGGTACGCCCCCGCCCACGGACCTGCCACCGCAGGCGTGATCAGATCCCCACTAGAATCAATCTTCCGGTCCGAAAAGTCCGTGTCCATTAACGTCCAGGGGGCGATCATGACCGCGCCCGCGAGGTTCTCGGTTACGTTCAAAGGGTCAATCTGCGGGTGCGGATGCGCCAGGTGCGACAGCACGCCGCCGACGAGGTTGCCTCCCGCCGAGTCGCCGCCGAGGAAGATGCGGCTGGGTTGGTGCGAGGTGTTGGCGAGGATGTAGCGGAGGCAGTCGACTGCCTGGCGGAGCTGGGTTGGGTAAGTTGCCTGCGGGGCGAGGGTGTAGGTGAGGCTGAAGATGGCGAGGGATTTGTTGTGTGTCGCGGCGTGGTCGACTAGGTTGGCGAAGAATTTGAAGTAGCCCATGTTCGCAGGGAGGGCGAAGCCTCCACCTATGTCCTTGTCAGATTGGTTACATTACCTATTGGATGGTAGTGATGCTGACCGTGATACCAGATCAGGACGTTATCTGCTTTGGCGTCTCCGATCCAGTGGCCGTAGGAGCCTTTGCCCAGGTCGATGGTGTGAGACAACCGCTTGCTTTTCTTGATATATGTCTCGTACATCTTGTTGGTTGGTGGTAGGACATATCTACGTATTTTTAATACTTTGTTTCTTCAAAGAAATATTGCGTGTACGTACTGCATCTGCTTGATGGACAAGCGTGTCGTCGCCTTACGGAACACCGCGTAGCCAATATGAAGAAACAGGGTCTTGGGCTGGTTGGACTCTCGCCGTAATCCAGTCAAGATGGCCCATATAGCAGTAATCCAGATGGATACTAGGGCAGGGAAGAAATCGAGTTTCTCCCACAGGGTCAACCTGATTGCTTTGTTGAAGGCCATCGATCCGTTGATTGAGGTGTATGACGGGTTTGTGGAGTGAAAGATTGATGCCTACGGGGCAAATACAGTATACAAATGCTCATATCGCATGATCATTCGTATGGCGATGATGGAGACATCGCTGTTATGGTAAGGAAGCATCACGGCAAGGGGTCGCAAGGATTGCCTGATTGGGAAATATTGATGCTTATCCCCGATCAGCCGAGGTCACCTCGGTTAGCTTGACGCAGTTATTTGACATTGCGCATAATGAGAATACGATTAACTAATTCTGATCTAAACGGTTGGGACTTTGTTTCCATTATGTTGGTCTCGTCGTCTAGATATGATACACCTGATCTGTGCTTTACAGACTTCTTTGCGGATGACACAAATCTAGGGTTAAGTTCTTGTGGAACGTTATGACTGACCAATCGCGTTAGACTATTATTCAAGTATTCAATTCATCCTTTCGATCTCCTTGCTTTTCTCGTTGCATAACTGACAATTCTTGCCCCTAGAAAGCAACCTATGTTCTCTATCAATACCCCTTCGTCCTCTCTCCTAGTCCAATTCTTCTCAATTGCTGAATCCTCCTTGATGATCCTTTTGAAAGATCGACTGGACTAGAATCAAGTCCCAGAGATCCAAGCTTAGCTCAACAACCCATTAGAGTGGCACCGGCACAGCACCATTAAGTCCGTGATTCGCGACGATTTCCCTTTTGGGCAAACGATCACTGCCCTCTCCACATGGCCTCACCGAGGAACATGTGAACTCTCTTAATTATACATAATTTCCATGTTGAGACTCGAATTATATAAATCCAAAGTCACTGGTTGCACTGAATCATACACCTCGCTTCCAAAGTTCATGCCAGAATGGATTACGATATTATCATTGTTGGCGCTGGTATCTCCGGCATCAACGCGGCCTACCGCATCCAAAGCCAACTCCCCAGCCATCGGTATGCCATTCTAGAAGCCCGCAACGCCATTGGCGGAACGTGGGATCTCTTCAAATATCCTGGCATTCGATCCGACTCGGATCTGTTTACGTTTGGGTTCTCGTGGAACCCCTGGAATCAGGACAACCCGATCGCCGAGGGCGCCTCCATCTCCAAATATATGCGCGATACAGCTGCGCAGTACGGCATCGACAAGCACATCCATTTCCAGCATCGCTTGCTAGCGGCCGACTGGTCGTCCGCCGACAATGTGTGGAAGCTGGCCGTCGACTATGAGGGCGAGCCCAAGTCTTACACTGCGCGCTTCGTCATCTTCGGCACAGGATACTATAACTACCATGAGCCACTGGCCGCTGATGTTCCCGGCCTCAGTCAATTTCAGGGCCAGGTCATCCATCCGCAGTTCTGGCCCGAGGATCTCGACTACACCGACAAGAAAGTGGTCATCATCGGCAGTGGCGCGACGGCGATAACGCTCCTCCCCAAGATGGCTGAGAAAGCGGCCAAAGTCACCATGCTTCAGCGCAGTCCAACATACATCCTTGCCTTACCCAATCGTCAGAGCTCGCTGTTGAGCTGGATCCTCCCGAACACAGTCAACCGCAAACTGCAACGCCTCCGATGGATCTTCACTTCCCGGCTTTTCTTTCTTTTCTGTCAGACCTTCCCCTGGATGGCGCGGCTTCTTCTCAAGCTCAGCGTCGTGCGGCAGCTCCCTAAGAACACCCCCCATGACCCGCACTTCAAGCCGCGGTACAATCCCTGGGATCAGCGTCTGTGTATCTGTCCCGATGGCGACTTCTTCAAGAGTCTCCACACCGGCCGTGCGGATGTCAAGACAGACACCATCCGGCAAGTCACGACCAACGGCATCGAGCTGAACTCGGGAGACTTCCTCGACGCCGACATCATCGTGACGGCGACGGGGCTCAAGCTGCAGATCGCGGGGGGCACCTCGATCACAGTGGACGGCGAAAAACAGCGAGTGTCCGACAAATACCTCTGGAACGGAGTGATGCTGCAGGACCTGCCGAACGCATCATTTGTGATCGGCTACACCAACGCATCATGGACGCTGGGGGCCGACGCGACGGCGCTCTTTGTCTGCCGCTTGCTCAAGTGGATGGAACAACACCACAAGCTCGCGGCGACCCCGCGGCTGAACCCGGTGCTGGCCAAGCAGATGCAGCCCCGACGTTTGCTTAACCTGAACTCGACGTACGTGACGACGGCGGAGAAAGATCTCCCGAAAGCGGCCGATCGGGGTCCCTGGCAGCCGCGCGACAACTACCTGTCGGATCTGATGTTTGCCAAGTATGGGCGTCTCGACGAGGGACTAGAATGGGTCGATGGGGACTGGAAGAAGCAGCAATAGCGACCATCTTTGGTCTATGATGTTTGCGGTGGATGAATGAATCGATCCTAACGATGCCTCTCCGGCCATGAGAGAGGGCATATCTTGTAATCTTGTACTCTGCATGATGTCACGACACTTGAGCGATATACTCGCACAATAACTAGAAATTGAACGAGTTGCATATTCCCGTCAATGCGATCAAAGAAATCCACCAGTCATGCTAGGGAGGATGTTCCCTTCCTGAGTATGCGTTCAAGTTGACTATTAAGTAATATTAATAACGAATCAGGAATACAAATGCCTCAATGACGAGAACCTGGATATAGATTCATCCTGGTAGATATTCAGTATACATGCATCATCATCAATGGAAATCGAAAGTGCCGAAAATCGGACATTTCGAGTCAAGTAGTTGTCCAAGCCGACATCCGATGAATATACCTCAATTCCGTTCTTGCATTAATCATGATGAATTAATAGATAATCTGTTATAGCTAATAAAACATAATAAAATGTAACGTGTATGCAGTAGATCTTCTCAGAACGAGCAATTCTCAGAAGTACGTGACGTCAATATCCTCAATATCCTGCCTGATTCCTGTTGTAGTATCCGACTCCGACCAATCAAAGAACCGGCATTTCAATCGGCAACTTTTGGCTCAGTAGATATGCTTTGTCCTGTCAATCCTACTATTTATTTAGTGTCTAAAAGGCTGAGAAACAGTCAAGACTCAAGCCGATGAAAGGTCCGGTCATCGGGGATCCCGCAGGCTGTGGGGGGGCCGATACTGAAGCGACAACGACTCGGCGGGAGTTTTCGGAGAAGTAGAGGAAGTATAGTATAGCATCAAGATATTTGCATCATGAAGCAGAGTACATAAGGAGGACATACTCATGTAGTTGTAGAATAGATAACATGCCAATCTGGTAGGCTACTATCCTATCATACACTGTATATCATACTATAGTTATATCACTGCAATGGCTCCCTCCATTAATGACTTCCCTCACTCCACCCCCTCGCCTCAATTCCCCGTTTGCAAGATAGGCATCAATGGCTTCGGCCGCATAGGTACCCGTCAACCTTCTTACCACAACCAGACTGATACTCACAGCTGGACCCCAGGCCGCAACGTCCTCCGCGCCGCCCTCAGTAGACCCGACCTCCAAATCGTCGCCATAAACCACACCTGCACCACCATTGACGACCTCATCCACCTAATCCGCTACGACTCCTCCATGGGCAACCTCCCACCCTCGATCCCCATCCACGCCCTCTCCGACACCCTCCTCAGCATCAACGGCCACAAAATCGCACTCACCTCGGAACGCACCCTGCAGAACCTCAACTGGGCCGCCCTAGGCGCCGAGTACGTTATCGAATGTACGGGGAAGTTCACGAAACACGCGCAGGCTCTTGAGCATATTACCCACGGCCGCGCGAAACGGGTTATCATCTCCGCGCCGAGCGCTGATGCTCCGACGTTCGTGTTCGGCGTTAACAGTGACGGATACACCGCCGATGAGGAGCGGCGAGTGATCTCCTGCGCGAGCTGCACGACCAACTGCGTGACGCCTGTGCTGAAGGTTCTGCAGGGTCAGTTTGGGATTGCGCAGGGGTTTTTGACGACTGTGCATGCGGCGACGAGGTCGCAGTCGGTGTTGGATGGGTATAGTCGGAAGAATCGCCGACTGGGTAGGTCCCTTCTTCTTTCTGACAAAGGAAAGATGGTTGATGAGGTGTAGGTCGGAGTGTCTTTGATAATATCATCCCGACGACGACAGGTGCGGCCAAGGCTATTGCGACGGTGTTGCCCGAGTTGAGCGGGAAGGTTACGGGGGTGTCGATCCGGGTGCCGACGTAAGAGTATCTTCCCTCTTGTATGATCTGGCTGCAAGCTAACTGGCTAGTCCCAACGTCTCCATGATTGACTTGACGGTCAGCACGGACAAGCCCACCTCGCTGGCTGAGGTCCTGGCTGTGTTCCGCCGTGCGGCAAAGGCAGAGCTGGCGGGGGTGTTGGCTGTGAGTGATGAGGAGCTGGTCAGCAGTGATTATCTTGGGAATCCGCATAGTGCTGTTATCGATGCGCCGGCTTGTTTGGAGTTGAATCCTCAGGTGAGTAATTGTCTGCTTCAGTCAGGTGGCATGCTAAGCCTGTGCAGTTCTTCAAGATCATGGCGTGGTATGATAACGAATGGGGATATTCGAATCGGCTGCTGGATCTGGCCAAGCATGTGGCTTCACAAGAACTTGAGCATAGATAGACTTACGGAAGATTACCCTATAGACGGGGTTACTGTTTATGACATACAAAGAACAAGTGATTCAATAATTCAATGATCATAATTATATTTCCATATCGTGCATAACTAGCATGCCTAGCATAAACATCACCATCAACGTGAGAATTTACTGCCGCACGGACTCCTCATCCAGCTTAGGATCAGGATTGTTGCCACCATAGCGACTGGCCGGCAAATTATTCAGCGCATCCTCCTGCTTATCCAACTTGTAGTTGGTCAACCAGAAGCCAATGCCGCCGACGAACGCCAGGATCGCCACAACGGTATAGTTCCAGACGAGCAGCGGATCCTCGGACAGACTGACGAGCGCCTGGCCCAGAGCAGACGAGAAGGCATTCATGAACAGCGCGACAGCCTGCACGAGCGAGCGCATGTTCTTGGGCGCCTTGGTAAAGGCATACTCGAGGGAAGTCACCGAAGCAAAAATCTCCGAGATACCGCCGAGCACGTAGGTGAGAGTCTGCACCCAGACGGAGATATCGGAGTGCTTGTTCAGCTTGTCGAGGCAGTAGTTGGCCTGGTTGCCGCAGGGGCCGATCTTGTAGATGTAGTGCTGGGTGACGGTGGCGCAGATCATGCCGCTGCCGGCGAAGAAGAAACCGGCCGTGATGCGCTTGAGCGGGGTGAACTTGATGCCCATGCGGCGGAGGCCCGGGTAGACGAGTTTGTCCATGATGGGGATGAAGATGATGAGGGAGAGGGGGTTGAGGTTGTTGATGATGTCGTTGGGGACGCCGCCGAGACGCATGGTGGCTGCTTGTGAAGTGAGGTTGTTGATCATTTGGTTGTAGGCGAGCCCTTCACGTCAGATTAGTTTGGACTGGAGTTAAGACTGGAGAGTGAGGATAAACGTACAGTACAGAGGGTACCAGAGGAAAACCTTGCAGGCCTTGAGACCACGGCTGACTTCGTCGACCCATTCGTCGTCAAAGGTCATCCACTGGGGACGGTCGGGTCCCAGAGCAGAGGGCTTGACCGAATCCCAGAAGGGCTTCGGGTTCTTCTTCCAGCTGTGAGGGTCAGTAAATGCAGCCAACAGACACAAAGAAAGGAGACATACATTCTGGCAGGGTTGAGAGACCACCGTCCCTTCATGGCCAGCCTCCACAGACGGATGGCTTGGCTGTAGACCGAGCCGGTAGGCTTGACGAGGTGATACTTGTTGCGGCAGAAGAACAGCACAGCAGGGCAGCCCAGGTACATGATGGTGGGCAGGAAGTAAGACAGCCAGAAACCGACGTATTTCTCCGCATACACCATGCTGACCTGACCCAGGATCGAGCCAATGTTGATCATCATGTAGAAGTACAAGTAGATGCGGGAGATGGTGGCCGCGGGATCGACAATCACGCGGTCGCCGTTCTTGAGAGTCTTGATGTAGGGGACTTCTTCGCGGTATTGCTCGGCGATCAGGGGAGAAATATTGGACCTGATCAGTCAGTACTAATTTCAATTGGTCCAAAACGAAAAGAAGGGGAGGCATACTTGAAACCACCGGTACCCACACCCATGATAAGCAAACCGATCGAGAAGCAGGCAATGGCACCATTGGGGCTCGCAATAACCGGAGGCAAGGCCGAGACGATCAGAATGATATGGCCCAGAAGTGCAGCGGCAATGGAGAACATGATGGTCCGGAATCGACCCCAGTACTGGTCAGCCATGTAGGCACCGGCCAGGGGCATCACGTAAGACCAGAACGCGTTGACTACCATGGTCAGCACCCTCTAATATCATCTTTGGCATTGGACAACTCACACAATGTCAGACCAGTGGACGCCTGCTGGCCCATACCCAGCGCACCGGGATTCGAGTGGTCATATCCCGCACCAGTGGTCGAGCCCTCGGGAAGAGGCCGCTGGATGAAGTTGACGACTAGGCCGATTAGCTCCGTATTTCAGTGAAGATCCAAAAACGTACAAACTGCAGTTGTGCCGTAGTAGGAGAAACGCTCGCACAGCTCGACAAATGCCACCGTGTACGCAGTCCAAGGAATATCGCCCGCTACCCGACGGAGGTGCTTGAAGTCGTCATCAGAGGGCAATTGCCTCTGCAGATGGGCATGATCGTCTTCATAAACCGCAGACGAGACTCCCACTTCTTTTGACGCGGGAGGAACCTCCTCAATGCTAGGCGTGAGCGACAATTTGTGGTCCCTCTTCTCGTCTATTTCAACATCATGAGCAGCAGCCCTGGCTCGGGCGACTTCCGCCACCTCGACGGGGTCCGAGACGTTCATGGCGACAAAGATAAAAAGCAAACAAACCAAGGAGACTCGGACAGATACAGCGGAATTGTCCCACAGACACTGGACTGTGGAGAAGAAGAGGAATTAGAAAAAGAAAGAGCCCCGTAGATCAGGAAAAGGGTCCAGCTTTAATAAGAGAGAGAGGGACAAGGGCACACAAAAAAATGCCACCCTGCGATCCAGACAGGTTATCGCGTGTCACGCCAGATGAACCAATAATCGGTTGGCAGCAATGGGTACAATTAATCTATTTTATCGAGGATTTGTCTCCAGGCTGGCATGATTTGCTGCACGGCCGAGGTCGCGGGGGATTAGCTGAATTCGTCGACAGTATCAGTCTAGAACCGTTGGTAGCCGGCGGACCAAGACTCTCGGCTGAGTTCGCCAGGGTCAAGACATGGCTGTTGCTTTGATTCCATGGTCCTTTCCACGCGTAAATCATCGCTTGGAGCAGCGCTTGGGAGCGGGTGATGCCGACATGGGCATGCTGGGGCGTGAACTGATTGAGGCGAAGATAAGTGGGAGAAATTGGCCATTGGTGCAGGGCATTCCATGTGTTTGAGATTCCATTGAAGCTCTGGAAGACCGGAGCAGCGATGGCGAAATCCTTGGCGGCTTGACTAGAGAGTCTTGGAAAAGTGTCTGACCGTCTCGCAGCAGCGATGATATTGGCCGTGATGGACCAAGGGCTGGTGGCGGAATTACGGCGGTCGCTTGGCTGGGGCTTGGCTGGTAGGCTGGAGTGCAACCTCACGGCTTGGCTAAGAGAAAATAGACCAATGAGCCGAGGTACAGGATATCAGGCTATCAGCGCTCTCACAGCGTGCCAATGAACATGAATTCATCATAGTCAATGATAGTGATATGAACTAGTGTCCTGGACGTGCATGGTCCCAGTTTACCCCAGACGGATGAGGGGATAAACTCTATGCAAGAGCAAACTTTGACTAATAGATACGAGGAGGATTCACTCTAATCAAAATGTATCCGGTCTCTCTGGTTTATTGACCTGCCACTTTTAGCCATCGACCTTCTTAGCTGGCAGGAAATGAGTGGTCAATGAGGAGAGACTCAAGTCGTTGGGAATACAGATGCAGTGTACCTTGCGCGAATCCGGGGTTGACTCGGTTATCAAAGGCTTTTTTATCATTCGATTGCCCTGATTGAACGAAGTTGATGTTTCAAAGGGGTTAGAATTGAGAGACCTAAGCTAGATAACACGGGGCCGTGTGACTGGCCTTGTCTTACAATGTCTGACCATCGCCCTCTTTCCCAGACCATGTGAACGCCGTGATATTCGTTCTACTTTCGCTCGGGTTATTCCAGTAAGGAGGCGATATCCTATTGCACTCCCCACCTTCATAATTGACTGCACTTCGTCGAAACTATATCTATGTGAAATTGATACCCAGCCTAGTTGATAGCTATCACTACTCTCCTCCAAACTTCTCGTAGTGGACCACTCTCGTATTGAGATAGCTTGGCCATGCTTAATATGGTGGACCGCTCAAAGCACCCAATTGGCCACGGACAGGAACAAAGTGAACTGGACTTGATCATCCTGTGGGTATACGCATCAAACAAAACAGCAAATCCAGATATTGCTGTAGATCAATTCATGTATATATATGTGTGCATACAGTTTCAATCATCAAAGCAGACTCCCCCGCAAGCATCTGCCAGAATTCACTGTCAACACGAACTATCTGTCAAGTCGAAACTTTATAATTACCCAACTGTTGGCGCTTCCACGGAAGGCCCCTTTCATCGAGATCATGCAAAGGGATCTTCTTGGTGATAAATCTAATCCGTTGCTTCTTTTAAAGCTGAAAATCCTCGAAGAAGCTCATGACTAGTGATCCGACTGTGCTTTAAGGTGATTAAGGTGAGAAATTGATAGATCTAGAGGCCTCATAAATTAGCCAGAGACAGAAAAACGAGTAAAGCCGGAATAAGAGAGAAGAAATGGGCCGGGGTAAGACCTTTCGTCAACAATGACTCGTTGATGTTTCACCTACACCAAGCTGCCGAATACGAAGATATGATGTTTGAACCAATGTGTATACAGTGGCTGAAGGCGCTCGTCGCAAATAGCGAGGAACATGGCAAATCTTGGATTATTCGAGTCTTTTGAATGCGACCAGCAGCCTTTGTTTTCCTTGTCAGATAAACTTCTTGTTAAGACTTACTGGAGTCTCACCATCCTGTAGATTTTTACATTTGTGGTGAGAATGATTCTAAAGGGTGCTATATACAAGATGTCACTCCGGGGTGCGAAATATATATATATCCCAGTCAAACATAGGTGTACTTAGTCCTCACAACAAGGAAAATGTTAACGCAGCCCATAAAATTGACTGTGTCAGGCATCCAGAAAGCACCATAGGAAAAGATAACAAAAGATACAGCCAATTGAGTAAAGAAAGCCGCTGTGCTTGCTTGCCTTGTACTCTTAGATGCCCCAGGTTGACAATGTGAGGTTCAGAGCTTTCATTGGCTGATGCTAACAGACTGCTGACTCAGTCTCATAATCTCCTGGACCACCGGTCGCTAACTCCCTGGTCACACATCGACAATGGCTCCAGGAGTGCATTCTACCGACTTAAGTATTCTCAACACTTCAAAACATAACAGAAGTTATGTCTGTCCTTGTTCAATGGAATTTCGAATTGGAAATATTCAACTGGAATAGCCCATTCATCGGTTGAGCTCT